GTATATTGGACTATGTAAATCAACCTTAAGGCAGCGTCTAAGTTCGACTTAAATTTTGTTGTTCCTAATTATGAATTATATTCAGAATTAGCAGCATCGACAACCATTTATTTTTTGGAGTTTTTGTAAATGGTTAAATTTGATATAAAATCTAAAAAATCACTATTTTAGGGAAAAGATAATAGAGAATTCTAAAAAAGCTAAGACGAATCGGGACATGCCTAAGGCCGTGTCAATCAAAAAACTTCGTAAAACCAGATCTATCCTTTTGTTTTTTTTTGTGTACCTACTCAAAAAAAATAATATTTAGCACAAAACTTAAGACAGCCCAGCAGAAAAGGGTGCCATAGCTAAAAGGTAAAATCGCCTCGGAGTAATGGAAGCGTTGGACAAGGTCTAAACGCAAAATAAAGTAATAGACGCGTTGGACACGACTTAAACCGTATCGTCCCGTAGTCTCGAATTATGATTAACTTTATACGTTTTGTCGCTTTACGAAAAGGTGAAAAAAGGTGAAATTGGATTTACAAGCTAAATACCATTTTTCAATAATCAAACCAGCATAATACTTTGAGTTTATATAGATAGGAAGTATAAAGGTAACCAATTTTTTTTAAACTATTAATTTAATATAACATGGAGATATTTTAAGCTATTCTAATTACAAAATAATATATTTATAGTATATAAAGGTGCATATTCTAATATCAATCAAAAGGGTCATATTCTACCCAGACCAAATCTGATATGTATTATTATGAGATTTTATTTTCTATTATAATATTAAATTTTAGTTGATCAACTTGCCCATAAATATAGACCGCTCAATACTTCATTCAGTCTTTAGAAAATATTGTACATATTCTCCAATACTAATATTTCAAATATTATCTTAAATAAATTTAAGGTATATCATACATTCAATAAAGTATTATTACTTTAAAAGTATTTTGTAATAATTATTTGAAATTAAGATATAATCTTAGTTAAGGAAAATTATTACTATTTTTTTTAACAAAATATAATTAATCCACTAATACCTGTTTCAGATGGCTATGCCTAACGTAAAAAAGCATAAAGACTATAATAGCTTTACTGCTTACTTTACATGCACAAATAAACCATGCCTTGGACGCTGGATTGTTAATATCATTTATTTACTATGTAGAAGGCACGAGTATATTAATTATTGATAAATTTTATATTAATTATTGATAAATTTTATATTAATATATTATAGATGCAATCTGCCTTCAAGAAAATTATTTTTCTGTAGGATGCAAAAGTAAAACCTCAAATATTCTTTTAATTTATCTTGGAAAAAATTTACAAATCATTTTGATTTATCTTTACAAAATTCATATCATCCTTTAACATTATTTACCTTTTTATTAAAGCTTCCATTTCATATGCAAGTATTGGGTGTCAAAGTAATACATTAATTATATCTTATTTACAAAATATTACAAATTATTCACCATGTAAAAAACAATATATTTACTATATCAATTATAAAGCTATTCATTGATATTCCTATTCTCACCCAAGAAGCTGTTGTCGTGAAAATAATTATGCATCAATTCGATGTAAATATAATATGATTAATACATTTACTATATCAATTATAAAGCTATTCAAGATGATATTCCTATTCTAACCCAAGAAGCTGTTTCAGTGAAAACAATTATGCATCAATTTCATGTAAATATAATATGATTAATACATTTACTATATCAATTATAAAGCTATTCAAGAAGATATTCTTATTCTCACCCAAGGGGCTGTTGTCAGTGAAAACAATTATGCATCAATTCCATGTAAAATTCAATATAAATAATATTCATTATATTAATTTAATTGCAATGATATTCAAAATTAATTTTCTTTTTAATAAGATCAATCATTATTCAATTTTCAAGATTTATTTTTTTTCAAAAAAAGCAATTTATAAAATAATAAATCAAAATATAATAATGACCTTTTATAATCTAATAAGTATTTGTACATTAATGAAAAATTAATATATTATAAATGCCATATAAAAGATTGTAAAGGGAGGGGAATTTTAAATACTCATTTTATAATGACACAAAAGCATATTGATCATAATGATGAAGAAATATATAACACACTCATCACGATCAATATGCTTAAAACAGAACTTATGATAAATAAAAATATCAGTATTAGAAAGACATACATTTTGTGATTTTTTATTTATTTATTAACGTTTTGAATTGCATTTATGCGCATTTTTTATCCAATTATTTTTTTTTCGTTATTCGTATATTTATACTAAATGATACCCTTATAAATAATGTATTGTGAAATAAATATTATTTAATAAAATAAAAATTCTCCTTCAATGCTAATAAATGTGTATCATTGTAATAAGTATAAATCCTAGGATAAAAAATTTATTCAGGGATTTCCTACTAAGTTAGGTAACTTATATATACTAATAGAATCTCAAAAAAATTAATAGATATGAGGAAATCTGATGATTATATAAATAAGAATCCAACGATAAAAAATTTATTCAGGGATTTCCTACTAAGTTAGGCAACTTATATATACTAATAGAATCTCAAAAAAATAAAAGATGTGAGGAAATCTGATGATTATATAAATAAGTATAAATCCAAAGATAAAAAATTTATTCAGGGATTTCCTACTAAGTTAGGTAACTTATATATTCTAATAGAATCTCAAAAAAATTAATAGATATGAGGAAATCTGATGATTATATAAATAAGAATCCAACGATAAAAAATTTATTCAGGGATTTCCTACTAAGTTAGACAACTTATATATACTAATAGAATCTCAAAAAAATAAAAGATGTGAGGAAATCTGATGATTATATAAATAAGTATAAATCCAAAGATAAAAAATTTATTCAGGGATTTCCTACTAAGTTAGGTAACTTATATATACTAATAGAATCTCAAAAAAATTAAAAGATACGAGGAAATCTGATGATTATATAAATAAGAATCCAACGATAAAAAATTTATTCAGGGATTTCCTACTAAGTTAGACAACTTATATATACTAATAGAATCTCAAAAAAATTAAAAGATATGAGGAAATCTGATGATTATATAAATAAGTATAAATCCAACGATAAAAAATTTATTCAGGGATTTCCTACTAAGTTAGACAACTTATATATACTAATAGAATCTCAAAAAAATAAAAGATGTGAGGAAATCTGATGATTATATAATATATAAATCCAAAGATAAAAAATTTATTCAGGGATTTCCTACTAAGTTAGGTAACTTATATATACTAATAGAATCTCAAAAAAATTAATAGATATGAGGAAATCTGATGATTATATAAATAAGAATCCAACGATAAAAAATTTATTCAGGGATTTCCTACTAAGTTAGACAACTTATATATACTAATAGAATCTCAAAAAAATAAAAGATACGAGGAAATCTGATGATTATATAAATAAGTATAAATCCAAAGATAAAAAATTTATTCAGGGATTTCCTACTAAGTTAGACAACTTATATATACTAATAGAATCTCAAAAAATAAAAGATGAGGAAATCTGATGATTATATAAATCCAAAAATAAAAAATTATTCAGCTACTAAGTTAGGCAACTTATATATACTAATAGAATCTCAAAAAAATTAATAGATATGAGGAAATCTGATGATTATATAAATAAGAATCCAACGATAAAAAATTTATTCAGGGATTTCCTACTAAGTTAGGCAACTTATATATACTAATAGAATCTCAAAAAAATAAAAGATGTGAGGAAATCTGATGATTATATAAATAAGTATAAATCCAAAGATAAAAAATTTATTCAGGGATTTCCTACTAAGTTAGGTAACTTATATATACTAATAGAATCTCAAAAAAATTAATAGATATGAGGAAATCTGATGATTATATAAATAAGAATCCAACGATAAAAAATTTATTCAGGGATTTCCTACTAAGTTAGACAACTTATATATACTAATAGAATCTCAAAAAAATAAAAGATGTGAGGAAATCTGATGATTATATAAATAAGTATAAATCCAAAGATAAAAAATTTATTCAGGGATTTCCTACTAAGTTAGGCAATTATATATCTAATAGAATCTCAAAAAATTAATAGATATGAGGAAATCTGATGATTATATAAATAAGAATAACGATAAAAAATTTATTCAGGGATTTCTACAAGTTAGACAACTTATATATACAATAGAATCTCAAGATGTGAGGAAATCGATGATTATATAAATAAGATAAATCAAAGAAAAAATTTATTCAGGGATTTCCTACTAAGTTAGGCAACTTATATATACTAATAGAATCTCAAAAAAATTAAAAGATACGAGGAAATCTGATGATTATATAAATAAGAATCCAACGATAAAAAATTTATTTAGGGATTTCTTAGTAAGTTAAGTAATTAACATATACCAATTAATCATAAAGCAATATATTATATAAACCAATATATATTTATATATCTAAATATATTATAAATAATTATAATTAAATTTTATATATGATGTAAATAAATTATATTAAATTATATTCAATATATAAGTAAATTAATATATAAAATATATTATACTAACTATATTAATAACATTAACTATTATATTAAATTTAAATATATTGATTACATTATTAAATACTACAAACAGAAACAATCATATTTAATTTTTTTATATATCAATTAATTTATAAATATTTAAATTATATTATTTACTTTATTAAATTTAAAATTTCTAATAATTCGTTATTAAATTAATAATAATTATATAAATTATAAAATCTGTCTCATTTGTAATAACCGATAGAAATTTATTGACGGCCATGTTTTAATTTTATATTTTAAAATCTCTCTATTCAACCTTTAGGGGCCATATTGGTCGCCATTTTAGCTTATTTGTCTTTTTGATATTTTTTAATATTCGAGATAGTGGACCCAAATCGACTTAAACGCTTAATAAAAACCAAAATTTTACTTTATAATATCTTCTTCCTTAGCTTTCGATGGCTGATAATCAACGATGTATAGGGTGTCGAAATCCTTTTTATTTTTGTAAACAAAAAAAAACGTATAATTTCCAATGATGGAAGAAGTATGTGGGTAGATCGCCGTTTCTTAAATTCAAAATTTTATGAACTTGTCTAATTTGAACCTACAGAAAACTAAACAATACATATTACGTAATGGGGAAAGGTCTGGTGTGGGTTAAAGTTAGTCTATCGAGACAAATATGTTAAATAGTAATCACAAAGCTGATAATTCAGAGCAGTAACAACTTAGGATTTAATTCCAAATATTAATTTTTCTTATTTTTTTAAATGGTGGCCCCCGATTTTAAGGAAAATTGAAAGCTCTCCGCCATTATTTTCTTCTTTCTTTTTTTAGCCCTTGACTCGATTTTTGTGACATTAATTACTAACCCAGATTGACGATTCATTTATTAAAAAGTGTATACATACATTGAAAGTCAACGCCATTTAAAACGCATTTCGTTATAAATCCCTTCAATGGCGAATTTCATAAGTATGACTTTTAAATGTATTTTAATGAATGAATGAATTTTCAATCTATTGTAAAAATATTAAGGTCGCTTATTCATTGCCTCATTAATATAAAACGCTTCGTTAAAAGATTTTTCATCTGATTAATTGGCTTGGAACTCATATTAATAATTAGTTAGCCGATTTTTTATAAAAGCTAGTAGAAGTTTAATATATAAAAAAATTAGCTTCCGCTAAAGAACGATTTAAAAACCACACAATATATTGGCAAATTCATACTTTCGTAAGTAATCATGTAATTAATAAGCTATAACTGGTGTTGTCCATCCATGAATAGAAGTGAAAAATTATTACTCCGGGAGGAATTAGGAAGTAACTTTTTAACCAAGTATCATTATATATAAGATTAGATTAACCGTTATTTCGTGGTCGGATAAGGCGTAAATGTCTTTCGATATCAATTCATAATTATCGGGTAAGTGGTTTAAGCGATCGGCATCCAATAATGACACTTGATATTCCTGTATGTTATTTTAAAAAAAATATAACAAAAAATATGGGATATATTGCTTCATCTATCCATATTGCGTATTTGCGAATGTCGAATCGGGATATGGACTATATGTGAGATGGGAATATTTCAATTTAAGCTCATTAACCGAATACGACTTAACGGGAAAAAATTTAAATCGTAATTTGGCCGAAAATGTATTCCAGCACGTGATCTGCCTTATGAATTAGAAACAAATTTTCTTTCACGTCTTTGTTTTTTTTTTCTTTCTCTAAATTTATAAGGCAAAGATTAAAAAAAAATATCTATACTAATTTTAGTAGTAGTTTCAAAAGTTTTAATTAGTATAAAATATTCTGAAATTCATAACGTGGTGCGTGGGGTAAGGGCTAGTTTATGGTAAACGCGTATGGTTCAAATTCGAGCGTAATTCGTCGGTAAACAAGAGCGTAGCTGTATAATTTAGCATTTATTTTATTTCGTAAATTACGCTTCGCCCGAAATGTAGGATCTAACTCTATTACACGCTGGTATATATTTCCGGTCAAATGTGATTTTTCATTTTTTTTAAAAAACTCAAAATAATAAAAAAAACAGGGATGAATAAAAAAAAAAAGATCCAAAAAATAAAAATTCAAACCAAGGCTAAAATAAATACTCAAATAAATCCCCGGCCAGTATAAAAATTTAAACCCGGTCCCATGCAGAGAATTTCCAAGAATTGGGGTGCGTTTAACACTTTTTTTAATCAAATTTAATCACTTATCCTAATAATTTTAAAAAAGAAACACAAGTTTTATTATATTTACAAGCTTCTGATGGCTAAATGAAGAAAGGATAGCACAATTTTGTGTGGGGCAGGGTGAGCACTTTTAGGGTACGGCATTCCCTCTCATAAAATTTTATTAAAGATCTTTATATCCAATTCATTGTAGTCCTTTGACATTATTCGAATTTTCTAATAAAAAATATATTTGTGTTTTAACACCCTTTTTTTAAAAAATTCAAAAAATTTTGAATTATCGTTATTTAAAAAAAAAATTATTATCCATATGCCTAATTTTTCTTTCAAATTTTTTAAATCTTTTGGGTAGAGGGGGGATCTCCCTTCTCCCTTGAATAAGGGATGAGGATAGTGTACGATATATATATATATACAAGTTGATATTTATTACTTGCAAGTATAAATAAATTAGAATTTAAAAGGTGATCTTATATTTGTGTAAAATAATATTTCAGTAAATTTAAATGAAGAAAAAAATAACAAAAGAAATTAAAATTACTAGAAATAATTATTAGAGATTGTATAGGAAAAAAATGTTATTATCCTTAAAAAAAAAGTTTTATTTTGCTTTAATTCTAACATAACTTAAATAAAAAAATGAGATAAAATTAAGTAAATAAATTTAATTGAAAATTTTTATTTTTAATTTATAACTGTAAAGCGAATAAAAACCTAATTACAATCATTTTATAATTTAAATATAAAATGTGAATAAAATATATTTAACAATTATCACAAAACCAATGAATTTTGTAAGGTTTTTTTTAAAAAATTTTTGGCATTTGAAGTGGAATCTTGCCTTGTGTTCTTTTGACAATGTTGTATAAGGTTTAAATAACTTTTCCGAGAAAAATAAATGTATTATAATATTTTTATTTTTTTAAGTTTCTATGATATCTGACTGATGATTGTTCAAATTTTTGAGTTTTGCATCACCTAATTTTAAATATTAAAACATTGATATTTTTAAATATTAAGTGTAACCTGCATTTATTTTCTCATTGATTATGAAATTTATAAATTCCATTTGAGAATTGGTTATAATTGGTGTTCTTAGTTAAAATAATAATATAAATTAGTCATCAGCAAATTTAAGTATACCTTTAATACCAATATTACATCTGTCATCTTTAATTGTCTTTTCTATATTAACATTATCAGTGTCAAAATATTTCTTTTTTCTTATATTCCCTTTTTTAGATAATTCTATTATAGATATTAGAGATCTGCAAAGTTGGGCCCGTATTTAAAATAATCGGGTTTGGGCCGGGCCTAATATTTTTAAAAAAAATTCTGCGCCAGGTCGGACCTTGGAAATTTTATTAAATATATCTAAATTTATCAATTTTATATTGAATTTTTTATATAAAATAAAATTTTTGATTTATGTCTTTTATTTTAAGTAATTATAAAAATCAATTTCTATATTTAAATAAATTTGGGCTTGGCTGGGCCGGTAAATTTTTTAAAAATAAATTTCGTGGTTAGGGCTGGGCCGGCAAAACTTTTTTAAAATAAATTTCGGGCCAGGCTAGGTTTGAAAAATTAGGCTGATGCAGATCACTAATAGATATATCAGACTTCCTTAGCTTACCTTGCCTTTTCATTCGTGCTGGTAATTTTAGATTACGAATTTTATAAAAATACGAATTTTATAAAAAAGTATATTTCCTTTGACTGAGAAGAAATTGGCAATTTTTTACATAAGAAAATAACCATTAATACTGTCATGTTTTCTTTGTTCCTCTCTGTCTATAATCATGTCTAGATCTAATTGAAATATAAATATTGCTTCAAATATTTGAATATTTGGTGATTGATCTTGATCTATTATTGAATATTTTTTATAAAGCATATAATTCTTTAAAAAGAACATTTATCTATTTTTTTATGAATTTCTTTGACGCCTTGTTTAGATCTGGCTCAATTTGGATAATTTGTGCATAGATAAAAGTGTGTAAAGGGTGTGCAACCTTTTTTTTCCCGACAATAAAAAACTTATTATAATTCAGACAGATCTAAGCGTAGTTTCAAGAAATTCATCAAAAAATAGGTAAATGTTATTTTTGACTATAATTTTATGCTCTATAAAATAGAATATTTATTATATATGATCAAATTATCCAAATTCATTCATATCTAAACAAAGTTTCAAAGAAATTCATCAAATAAATATATGCACAAATTATCCTAATTGAGCCAGATCTATGCAAGGTTTCAAAAAAATTAATCAAAAAATAGGCATATGTTCTTTTTAAAGAAGAATTTTATGTTCTATAAAAAATATTCAATTTAGATAAAAATCAATCACAAGATATTCAAATTTCGGAAGCTCTGGAAAGTAATATAATACATTTTGATTTCTATTTCTATTTCCATTAGATCTAGATATGATTATAGAAAGAGCGGAACAAAATAAACAGGACATTATTAATGGTAATTTTCTTATGTAAATAAAAATTAATAATTTCTTCTCAGACATATAAAATATAAATTATGAAAAAAATTCTTAATCTAAAATTACCAGCACAAATGAAAAGAGAAGGTAAGTCAAGGAATTTTGATTTATCTATAATAGGATTATTTTAAAAAAGTAAATATAAGTAAAAAGAAATATTTTGATATTTATAATGTTAATATAGAAAAGGCAATTAAAGATGACATATATAATATTGATATTATAAGTATACCTAAATTTGATGACATAGGAAAAGGTATATACCATAATATAATTTATGTAATTATGTTAACTAGGAACACCAATTATAAGTAATTCTCAAATGGAGTTCATAAATTTCATAATCAATGAGAAAATAAATGCAGGTTACATTAAATATTTAAAAATAGAAATGTTTTAATATTTAAAATTAGATGATACTCAACTCAAAAATATGGGCAATCGTCAGATAACTCATATTAACTATAAAAAAAAAATATTTACATTTATTTTTCTCATAAAAGTTATTTAAACCTTATACAAAATTGTCAAAAGAACACAAGGCAACATTCACTTCAAATGTCAAAAAATTTCTAAAAAACCTTCCAAAATTCATTGGCTTTGTGATAATTGCTAAAATATATTTTTATTATCATTGAAATTACTTATTTTTTTTTTCGCGTTACAGTTGTAAATGAAATGAATATTTTTATTCAATAACATTATTTTAAATTTATTTACTTGATTTTATCTCATTTTTTATTTAAGTTATGTTAGAATTAAAGCAAAATAAAGCTTTTTTTGAGGGATAATAACATTTTTTCATATACAATCCCTAATAATTATCTAGTAATAATCATTTCTTTTGTTATTTTATCTTCATTAAATTTACTGAAATATAATTTTACACAAAAATAAGATCACTTTTTATAATTCTAATTTATTTATAAAAAAATTTTGCCTAAAAAATTAGAAACAATTAGATTAAAGTATTAAAATAAAATTATAAGTGAAGGATCATATTATATTAGAATAATATCAGCTGTCTATTTTAAAAACCATGACACAATTTTAGATATGTATCTATTATTTAAAGATAAAATAATAAGCTATTGAAGATTTGATATCATAAGGAATTCATAGAAGAATTTCAGTTGGATCTCAATTTACCAAAGCAATTAAATATTAACAATTTTCATTTTAAAAGTAGGTATGTACTTATAATTTTTTAGATTTACTCACATTGAAAGTTAGCATTTTTTTTAATATTTTCATACTTTTAAAGTTGGTATATATTAGTTTTTAAATTAGGTATCAAAAATATGTCAATAATTTATATTACTAGGATGCATCAATCTGTGATTATATTTGATTTAAAAGATTGTCACTAGCATCAATTATATTTGCAACTGGGTTGTACCTATCCTTGGCTGTTATTATTGCACAATTTTGATTTTTGATGTTTTATATTTAAAATTTAATTGAATGGAATATAATCATAAATGTACTATAAATTGTTTTCTTTCCGTATCCACTTTTATTAAACCCTCTATATATTTTATAGTGCTTATATTTTTTGACAACAATTTAAGTTAATTTGATTTGAATGTGAGCATTAATTAATATTCTATAAATGCTGTGGACCAAACAGGGATAAATATATATACCATACCAGCAAATGAGGATGGGTTTAAATATATTTTAGAGATATGTTTAGCAGATATACTGTACATTAAAGAATAAAATAGCCAGATAAATAACATGATTGTTAATTATTATGATGCATAGTATTTTACAATGTATTTATATTGTATTCAAAAATAAATAATTAAGGCATTACTGAATTTTTATTTTGTAAAAAAAATTATCTATTAATATTTTATTGATTAATAATCTATTTTTACTAAATTTAAATAGTTTAGGCAAATAAATAAAATAATTACCTGATTCTTATCATTATAATGACCATATATCATATATGTTATAAAAATCTCTGAACCAATCAATTTTACATATTTTTGACAAAATACCTTCAAAAATCTAAATTATATTTTTTTAAAGGAATACAATGCAATTAAAGAATGATAAATATTAAATTTATTACTCATTTAAAAACTTGTGATTTGTATCATAATTCTTTAAAAGCCATTTAAAGGTAACCTTATAAAATATTAAATAAAAATTATGATAAATACTTATTTACAATTTGATGTTCCTTTATTATTAAATCATACACAAGTTCATTGTCTAATTTTTTAATTTTTGAATCTAGCATTATAAAATAGCAAATGATATTTCACGTCACTGGACGCTTGATTTTGTAATGCTTCGTTAAATACAGATTTTGGTGAATATAGCTCAAAATTTAAGATTTAGCGCTACTTGCTAATTTTTTATTATTTGTTAATGAATTCAATGAATACCTTTTTTGATGATTTAAAACCAAAGAATTTAGTTAAAAATTTATGTTTTAAATTTAATTTTTTTTTAGAAAATAGAAACCATAACATCTAAGTCACAGAAGTCCTCTTTAGATAAAGAGGAATGTACTAGAGATGTTATATTAAATGAAATAACAGGGGAGATACATGAATGTAAAATATAGCATTTTAATTGATAATATATTTATTATTTAGGTGATCTCATTGATAGTGAGAATATATCAGAAGATATATTTATTCCCAAAGATTCTGCAGCACTTAAGCTTAGTAATGATTCTGGTAATTAATAATATCTAAAAATTTATACTATTTATATTGAAGACTCTATGTCCTCTGTTGGATCATCTAGTTCATATTATAAATGTCCTAAGAGAAAGAATAATGATATAGGTAATTTATATTATTTGATTTATTAAAAATTTAAATAGATAACTTTAGGAAACTAATAAAATTAAAAGAAGATATAACATTAATAACCATGGAAATGCTTAAAAATAAATCAACTAAATATGGAATATGTCTAATGTTGAAAGAAAAATTAGATGATTGTACCAAACAGGACAAAAAAGAATTAACAACTAGAATATTTGATATTATAAAAGATTATTGATTAAAATTAATTTGTATATATTTTTGTTATTTGAAATAGATATTTTGTATGTATTAATATTATTTGAAATAAACATTCTGAAATACATTGAATGATATAATTATTCCCAAAATTCCTGCATTAATTAAACAATAAGAATGATCTTTATCTTAGAGAAAGTTTAATGACATTGGTAATTTATGTTTACTTGCTTTAGAAAAATATTTTCAATAGATGAATTTAGATGTAGCTTTTTTGTGACATATTCCTACATATATATTTTATAAGTTTAGACTATATTAATAATAACTTTATTTTTATTATAATATATATAAAAACAAAACAAGATATTTATATAAAATACAAAATAAGATATTTATATAAAATACAAAATAAGATATGATTAAATTTATAAATATCTATAATATAGGATTTTTTATAAATGTAAGCATAATAAATTTCTATTATGCTTTGCAATATTAGTTGCTGATTTAATGGATTCTTGCTTAAATAAATTTTCAGTGGGTGTTTTTATTTTTTGATTAAAAGAAATAAATCTTTCCTTATCAATAATTATCAGAGACCGACAGGCCCGGCCCTAAGCCCTTATTTTAAATTTTTTAAATATACCCAGGCTGGGCCTAAAAAAAATTTTTTTAAACATATGTGGGCCGGGCTGGGCCTAAAAATTTTTTTTTTAAATATATCCGGGCCGGGCATAAGATTGTTAAACCCGGGCCGGACCTTAATATTTTTTATAAAATTTTTACATTATGAGTTAATGGTTATAATATATTATATTATAGTTATGATTAATATAATATTGGGTGATGGTTAACACTACCTAACACCCACAGATCGATCTAATTATTAATTTCCTGCAAATTTAATTAAAGTATTAATATATTTTTTTATAATTCATATCTAAATTTTTACAACATATTTTACCAAAACAATCAAATAAAGGAATATCTTAAATAAGCCCCAATATTCAAGTATTATTAATATATTTTTTTATAATTCATATCTAAATTTTTAGAATATATTTTACCAAAACAATCAAATAAAGGAATATCACTTCTTGAAGTTTGTAATACCTTTCAAAGCGAAAAAGAAGAAATAAAATTGATTTTACTTAATATAAAGCATTTTTTAATTGAAAAATTTGTTTTACACAAGTATCATTTTATTTCTCTTTTTCTCTGTTCCAAATTTAAGCAATTACGTATGTTGTCAGGGACAGATCTCAAGATGACGGAAAATATATAAAAGATTATATTAAATTACAAGAGGCTCAGGAAGTAAATGAAATACCATCGACCAAAATTACGACTTGTTAAACAAACTGAATCGTTTTATGACAAATGGGGCGATGGTAATTCTGGTAATATGTCAATACCCGATGATGAATATTATAATTACATAAATAAAAAAATAGATGAAACATTTAAGGTGGATAATTTGTTAGAGTAATGGGCGGCTCATCAAAGCGAATTTTCAATTTTAGCAAAATTGGCAATTCCTGCTTCAAGTGCAAGCTGTGAGCGGAATTTTTCCACTATTGGGAGAATTCTTGAAGAAAGGAAGTAATCTTCAACCTGAAAAGGTAGATATGCTTCTCTTTCTTCATGATAATTTGTGAATTTTTAATATCTTTCTTGAGTATAGGGTTTCGTCAATCATGCTGGTTTTTTACTTTGCAAACTGTCAAATATTTATTGCATTTATTATATTTACCTTGAGTCATGAAAGTTTTTAATCCAACATTTTTCATTATTTTTTTTTACAATATTATATAATACAATTATCTTCGTTTGTTAAAAATTTATATTATAAAATAAATTATATTAATATTGTGCAAATTAGATTATATTTTCAAAATACTATTTATTATATATACATGCATTTTTCTAAATAGCGATTTATTTTTATTTTATAAATTAAATAGTAAATTAAATTCAATATATTATATTCTCAAAATATTTTCCATTTTTATAAATTAAATATTAGTTTTATTTTTTAAATGCAATATAAAATATAGTATATGCTCAAAATATTATTACCATTTTTATGAATATTAGTTTTATTTTTATAAATGCAATATAAAATATAGTATATGCTCAAAATATCCATTTTTATAAATTCAATATAATATTCTCAAAATATTAACTTTTTACACGTATTTTTTAAATAATAAGCGATAATACTCGCTGAAAAATATGGTAAAATACCTCATAGGTGAATTTTTGTATATACCAGGTCGAATATAATTTTAAAAAATTCCGAGCCGGGCCTGAAATTTTTTTTTGGGCCGGGCCGTAAAAATTTTTTTAAAAAAATATACGGGCCGGGCCTAAAAAATTTAGCAAATAGTGCTTCTGCAGGTCTCTGATATTCAGTAAGTGATAGTTTTGTTTCATTGGGACGATCAAAAATCAACCATTTATGCCTATTCGACTTCCTAGCACGGGATATCCTATAATTATAGGCCTCTTGTTGTTGGATAAGGATACCTTAAAATAATAATGTAAACAAATTTAATATATAAATAAAAAAAAATACTAATAAAATTTTAAATTCCTGACCTTTAAAATACTGGCCATTTATTAAGTTATGCCCAAAATAATAGCTTTAATATATTATATAAATATGATATAATTAAGTCAATATATACTATACCCTTATAAGGCCTTAAAATTTAGGACTTCAAAGGGTAACCGCCACCTGCCACAAAAAAAAATGTGGGAAAAGGAGACTGGAAATCGGCAATCTTTTAGAAGGAGGTAATTGTATGTCTCCCTTTTCTATCATTTTGTATATTTTTGAATTGGCAAAAACACCTTCATCAGATTCACTCCCATAACTTCCAACATCGACAGTTATGAATTTCCCATTAGCATCCACAATTCCTTGTTTTTACAATATTTAAATAATATATTTTTTCAAAAATTATATTTTTGTAATTATCAAGTTTTCATTACAATGTTTAATTAATATGGAAATATTTAATTAGCATAAATAAAAAACAAATTCACAAACCTTTAAAACCACAGGGAAAAAGTTTATAATTGTAAAATCCACTGCCAGAATGAGGTGGTTTCCTAATTCTGCAGTGTTTGCCATCATTACCTATACAGTTTGGTAGATTCCATTTTATCTCAAACTACTTTTAAATAATAATTTACATAAATATAATATAAACTATATTATACCTTTGCTATTCTCTCAAAACCAGAGAGAGTGGCGGTGGCATATGTAGGCTTACCAACAATTGCCATATAGCTTGGCATGTTGTCCTAACAATTTTCTGGACTGTAGCTATGGAAAGAATAGGCCAAGGTAGGATACCTACAGCCTGTTGCTAAATACTTAAATAAAAAATATTATTAAATAATAAATTGCTTTATTTTTACCTTAAACAAACCATAAGCTTTTCTTCAACACTTATAGGATGTTTTAAAAAATTTGTACATTTGATGTGTAATAAAGGTTTTACATGTTTGAGTGTATAATAAAAGGTTTCCTAAATTAAAATGAATTATAGATAAAATAGAATAAAATTACTTTGGTCATTCTCCTATAGTTCAAAAATTTAGGCTCATTTTTTAATAATTTATGAAAGAGGACATAAAATTCGACCTCTTTTGTTTTATTAATATTAAGAGGGTTTAATCTTCTCCTCTTCAAGATCATTCTGTAAAAAAATTATAATTTGAGGATGATTTTGAATGCTTTGCACTCTGAATGAAAATAGCTGCGATCGATCCAGCTGATAGGTCGCTGCGATATCGCGGCGAAATCACAATCGCTCTTCACTATGAATCATTCGCAGATCTCAAATGCTTATGTTGACTAATTTAAAAAAGTATAATATATTAAATATACATTATTTTTAAAAAAAAATGAATACAGAATCATATATAACATTTCAAGGAGATTCAGAAAATGGTATTATTTATTTACCGGGGGCTTGTAGTTTAGTCAAAATAAGAAGAAATTAAGTGTTTTTCCCAAATCTCAATAAGTTATAAATAATTTATAAACTTAATATTAACATTTTTTGATTCCTTTTAATGAGCTTATTATGATTATGCTTTATTTTTTTATGAATTAAGCTTCTTTGATAGGGGGAGCGTAGTTTAGTCAAAAAAAAATGTTTTGTTAATTAAATTTTTTTTAAAATAAATAAATAAATAATACCATTTTCTGAACATGTTTTAAAAATAATGTATATTTACAGGGGGCGCATAGTAGTTTAGTCAAAAAAAGAAAAAATTAAGTAATTTTTCCAAATCTCAATAAGTTATATAAATAATTTATTATTGTGTTTAAATATATTAAAACAATCTATAATTGTCGTAATTTTTTACTTTGCCAGAAATTTAATTGTGAAAATATGAATTTCTTTAATATTTATCCAATATTTAAATAAATGAAACCAATTATATGAGGCAATGGCAAAAAAAATTTATAAAAAAAAAATATATATATAAATTAATCAAACCACTTAAATTCTAATGTTTGTTCAGCTTATAATAATAAATTAAGGGTCATTTTTATTAATCAATAAATGATATAAACATTATAATATAGATGTAAAATATTCTTAGACAAATTATTTAGTACAGCTGACTTCTTGTACATTTTAATATCCTGAAAGAGAATCAAGATATTTGTTGAATTCATAATAAAATCTTATTATATTTTTAAAAAAAATTACTTCAACTTTTTGTCTATGAGTCTTTTTTGCTTTAATGACCAATCAGTTAGCTAAGCAAAATTATATTATAAATAACATAACTTTAATTATTTTTGCTAACTTTCTCTTGTCAAATAAATACCTCCTCAGCTTTCGTTTTGTTGTGAGTGGTGATAACTTTTGCAAAGATTTTCAGGCTTAGAAAATATTTATAGGTTTCAAAATATCTTCATTTTTCCTATAACATCAAATTTATTAAGAATATATTTTATTTTATATTACTTCTTTTTAGAAGATTTTGTTTTGAATTTAATTGGGCCTTTTTGATAAAATTGATCTTGATCACCTGTTGATTGTGACTCCATATCGCCCTGAATTCATAGTGCGCGATTGCGATTTAGACGCGATAAATACAAAATACAGTAAAATATATCGCATTCATAATTACCGTTTTTGAAAACGCAAATCAATTTGTATTTATCGCGTGATTTTGAAATATCGTTTCGTTAAATACAGATTTTGGGCGAATTTAGCTCAAAATATATCATGTCAACTTATATTTCTTCAAAATTTTCTAAAATAATTTTTTATATTTCTATTTAAATTTTATTTATTCAAATCTTCCACTATATTCTTAATTTTTATTAAATTATATTTCTTAAATTCTTTAACTTAATTTGCTTATGAATATTGTTACTGATATTTTCAATTATATCTATAATAATTTAAATTTTCTAACCTTCTAAAATATTCTTCTATTAATCTAAGTTCTTGGTTTGATGTATATGATATGACACCATTAATATATTTGTAATATTGTTATTTTTATTATTATTTCCTATATCCCTAAAAACAATATACATATCAATTTATATTAATAAATAAGTATATATAATTATTTTATTATCAGATCCTAGTGTACAATTTTCTATTCCATATTTCCAAAAACAAAATAATATTCAAATTAAAAACAAAAATTAATAATTAGTTAATGAATGTGTATTTTTTTTTCTACTTTCATTTTCCATTGTCCTTTGTTTTTTCTTTTTTTCTAATCGTCACCTCACATATTTTCATATATGATAAAGGGAACCCTTCAAATTTTTTAGGGACTCAAGCCTATTCCCCTCCTTCCTACTATTGAGGATACTGATATTTATCCAATAGTATTATTTATAGGAATATTAAATAATATTGATTTCATCTAGTGTTGTTAAAAACTGCTCGATTAAGATTATAGCCACAACAATATTATGTAAGCCTTAAGATTTTTCATTTTGCCACACTAATTTATCAAATTTGTCACATTTTGTGAAAAATTGCTATAATACCCAGAGTTGGAATCAAGCTCGCGGCTAAATGAGATAATTATATATTTGTCGCAGCAGTTTAGCGCTATTACCTCACTTGTTCATATTATGTGTGTATTTGAATTACATTTTATTATTTACCAGCATTTTCAAAAAATACATATGTAATAAAGATTTAAAGAAATAAAAATTTGATATATCATTTGATTGTAAAATTATAATTATCCCTCTAAGTGGGAGGGTCTAGGTCATTGAAGGTCAGTAATATTATCAGCACAATATATTGATATTGATGTCAAATAATATTACTGCATTTGGAATTAATCCAATACTATATGCCACAATATAATATACTCAGGCGCGTACGCGAAATTGGTCTGGGGAGGGATAATAAAATTTTTTAAAAAATATTATTGTTTTTTAAAAATATCAAGCATAAATTTATTAGAACTATTCCTAATACACAATTTTAAATTAATGTGAATTATAAAAAAATTATATGTAAAGAATCACTTAAATGACCCAAAATAGAAATTTGAATTTTTTGAGCCTTTACACAAAATTTTCTTAGGAATAATTGTATTTTGAATGTTATATATTTACAATGTAAAATCCAATCTTTGTTGGGATTGAGCTAACTTTTCAATTATCTCATCCTTGCTTGTCGTCAAATGCCTATGAATATTCAAAAGATCCAAACCTTTCAATCTACTTACAGATGTTGTATTTCTTGGTATGTTTTTCAGAGACCTGCAGGCCCGACCCCTGGGCAGGACAGTATTTAATTTTTTTAAATATACCCGGGCCGGGCCCATTTTTTTTTAAAAAAACACCCAAGCCGGGCCTGAATTATTTTTAAAAAACACCCAGGCCGGACTTTATTTTTTAAAACAGCTATATTTTATATCGTCATTATTAGCTATAAAAATCAAAAATAAATATAATTTATTTTTAAAAAATCCGAGCCGGGCCTGAAAATTTTATTCTAAAAAAAGCCGGGCCGGGTTTAAAAATATTTTTAAAAAAAGCCGAGCTAGGCCTAAAAAATTTTTTTTATAAGGCCGGGCCTGAAAATTTTTAAAAAAAACCTAGGCCTGGCCGTAAAAAATCTTTAAAAAAATCCAAGCCGTGCCCTGCAAATGGTACTTCTGCAGACCTCTGTTATTCTTCTTAAAAAAGAGAATGTTTTTATTAGTTTACTAATGGGATGAGTTTGTTAACCCTTTTAATACATTGGGAATTTTATCTAAAATGTGTTTGAAATAATGCAGAGCATCCATAGCTTTTTTGGGACTATATCAACCATAGTTAATCTTATAAGCATAGTTATTCATCTAGTAAGGCATCATAAGATACTTTAACATCTTAATCATAAATCTAACAAATATTTTTTTTTCTATCACCATCTGAAAAAGGTTGGGAAGGCTTTTGTGGAAGTAATATTTGCAGATTAGTAAGTGCTGCATGATGAATTAATAATTCATTTATTTGGGTTATAAATGTATCTGTATCTAAGATATACTTCTACTGATCTATATTAATGTTTTAACGATGAGCTGCTACAAGTCGAGGGAGACAAATATTAAACACGTATAGCTCTGCTTTTGACTCAACAATAAAATAAGAAATTCTTCATCAACATTAGCCCTAATTCCTTGAGTTCTGATAAAATGCTCTCAGCTATTCTCATCTTCTTAATCAAGTCAATGTCATGTTCTTGAAAAGTAATACTTAAAATAGTTGTATAATTAAATAATACATTCTAATGAGAAATAAAGCATTGAATCCAATAATTTTCTTGCTTCTGAGTATATATTTCTTTCACCATTGTGATATTTCAGTAATAGCAAATAATCGGCTCTTCTAACTGTTGGACAAGGTTGCAATTTCTTATTCCCTGTTGGACCAGAAGTTTCAGAAATAATTATTATTTGACTAGAAATATGAAAATGGTAGATAAATATTACGTCACTAAAAATTTGAAAATAATAAGTAAATATTACACCGGAAAACTTGAAATCGAAATTAATTGATAAAATAACTTATGAATGTGATAATAAATGTTAATTAAATATATATTTAATATGAGATACGAATGAATATAAAAAAATATAAATTAATATAAACAATAATATTTTTGAAAATATATCCGGCATCTGCATTTTTGGCTTTGGGGGGGGGGGGGGGGAATTTGTCCCTCTGCTCTCCCCCCACGCTGCATACGCCAATGAATATACTAGCAGATAACCCGTTAAGAATAACAGGGAAAGAGAATTTTCTCCTTAATTTGATGATGAATGAATCAGAGATATCATTTATTTGATGATGGATAGATCCGAAATCAGCCATCAGAAATTTACCTATATTTGAATGTGGGAATTGATTGCATATATTTGTGAACAAATAATTGGAAATTATGTGTGGATATACTTTTTTCATTGTATCAATTTCATAGTATCTTAAAAAATAGTAATTATATACTCAATATAAAATATTCTGAATGCATTTTTATACATTTGTATTTGTAATTCAAAGCTTGTAAGATTGAGAGAATTATAAATTTTGTAAGTTTTGATGACCTCACTTTTAACGGCAAATTTTTATTATGTTATAAAAGGAAATAAGGTCTAATATGTCATATAAAAAATACATCTGGTTTCTTTCCATCAGTTAAAAAAATATGATCGTTTTCGATAAGGCCTATCAAAAGGTTTATACTATTTTATTTAGATTAAATTAATTATCACATAAACATGCCATAATTTTAAATATTATCTTATATATTTTGATAAACAAAGCGCCTGGTCTTGTTTCGACCAGTTCCCAAAACCATTAGTTGCTCCGTATGTTAGTCTATCGGTAAAGTACTTTATTTTTTGGGGGAAGAGGCAAGATTGATTTTTTAGATACAGTTGAAAAGACTCTAAATTTTGTTGTTTATAATTTTCCCTATCGTATTTCTGATGTACACCATTATAACCTAATAAAACAAAATCGTCATTTACATTATATGTTAATAATGATAAGATATCGTCGTTTTAACTAAAAATCATCGGGATGCATCTTTTAATAATAAATGAAAAATTTTAAATTCTAATGTTTACGTGAAAAAAATGTCCTAAGACTTTATTAATTTGTCTCATTCTTGTATGATGACAAAATAAATATTACTTCATTTAAAACAGAATTCTATATTGCACACTTTGATTTTTAATTATAATATACAGTTAGGCCTATTCAAAAACAAATATATGAGCCGATTTTAACGGCTAACCCAATATTTTAGCCTGAAAAATATTGCCTAAGTCTTGAGATTTCGCTAACAGATGTCCAAACTTTTATTCCTTCTACAAAGAAAATCTTCAGGCTTGCGTAATATTGCTCTGGATGAAATTGTGTGTTAGCCGTTTTTAAAAATCAGCTCAAAACGAGCCGTTTAACAACACTAATATGATTAGTGCATTATTCGAAATCGATTTTTTATAACGAATCAAATAATTTACTATTTGAATTTAATCTGTTCGAACAATATGTATTTTTTTAAAATATTATTAAATATAATTCGTACGAAAATACTATATTGATAGATTAAACTTTTTTTATAAATTCACATCAATAAATTGGGCTGTTATGCCTCAAAAAGAGAGAGAAACTGAGTGAACTTATACAAAAATAGGAAAAATTTTTCTTTTATCTAACTATTTAATTTAGGGTTATTTTTTTTTTTACAACTGTTCTTTTTCTGCAAATGTATATTAGAATATTCAATATATTATTACTGGTATAAATTAAGATTCTTTATAAAATTTTATAGGTTATATTATTATATTTATAAAGAATTAGCTTTTATAGTTAAAATCGATCTTACTGCAACCCACTTTATCCTGGAGTGAAAGTACATAAAATGTTCAAAAAACTCAGGAATCATGCAAATGACAAAGGTATTTAAAACCTAATGGAATTTTTTAAAATTAGATTCCTAAGTAATAATTTATCACATTTATTTAAAATATATTTTTATTAGAATGAAACTACCGCAAAACACCATCTAACAAAAAAAGTAACACGCTATATCGTAATTTTTTGAAAAAGGAGCATACCTTTTAAAAGAGTCTCTACTTTGTAAAATAATATAATACATATTTTATTTGTAATACTATATAATTTATTTCCATAAAATTAACAGTTTAAATTGAAACATGTAAAAAAATGTTGATACAAAAAAATATGATTAAAAAATGTAAAATATAATGATACATTTATTAATCGTTCAACAATAGCACTTGGTGGCAATGAAGTATTTTTTTTAAAAAAACTTTAGATATAAAAGAAATTATCAAAAATATTTATTTGAGTATTCTTATATTTAAATAATGAGTCAAAGAGGCTTTATTAACTAATGCATCTTTGTTGGGTAATAAAGTCAACATTACCAACTACCCTATTTAGAAGCTATTTGGAAGATCGGAACATAAATACTTTACTTTACCTTCTACAAGGAGTCACTAAAATTGTGCAAAATATAGGAATCTGATAGATCTAATATATCTCTTTGATTTCTCAGAAATTATCCAAAAATACTTGCCATCAGTTTCTGCCGGTAGGATGTATTAGCGCCAGGGAGATAATGTAATCAGATTTATAAATGAGGAATTATCGACCAAGAAAATTTCCCGAAGACTTTATGAGTTAAATTTTTGAGAAAATGGTTCTGAAGGGTTAATCAATTTTTTGGATATAATCTCTTCTAGTGCGCCATTAAAATTTCAGGTAAGAACACTTTAAATTTAAAACTGTGGAATAAGTTATATTAAAATTTAGAATAATACTTTTATATGTTTTTTTAGGAAGCTGTTTATTTTATTGGAAGATATTATCATTCGATATTTTTTTTTCTCTTTAGCTTTCACCTTTTCTAGTGGTAAGCTCCTTCAACATCTCTCTCCACTTTATGTTATTCATACAATCTCTTTTATCTTATTATATTTCTTTATATTGGCTCTAACTTTAAGGCCCCATTGAAATTTTGGCCTTCCTCTTTTACGTTTGCCCATCACTTCCAAACTCTCAACCTTATTTCCTATTTAGTTCATAGGCCTTCTCATTGTGTGCCCATACAACCTAAGTCTGTTTACCATTAAATATGCATCTAAATTTAAATCTTGTAATCATTTTTTTTTATTAAGTTCGAAATATTTTGTAAATTTGTAAAAAAAGGAAATTTCCAGAATATTATTTTCTAGTGAAAAATTATCGCTATCCCCTGTCTCCTAAATTCTCTCTCTATTGTCAGTTTTAAATATTACTCTAAATTAGAGATTTAAAAATGGAAATACAAATCAAAAATTAAAAAATATAATGATTATAATTTTAAAATAAATAAAATTATAAATAATTCGTATCTTTTATGGTATATATATACTTATAATAACAAATTTTTTAAAGAAGTGTGCTATTTATCTACTTACCGCTATTATTCTAGCGCACTATTATCCACCACTACTTAATAAAAAAAATAGCGCTCTATTTAACAAATCAACTTTATTAAGGTTTACAAAAAAAATATTAATTTGACAATTTATTTTTAAGTGGGTAAAATATCATAAATATTTAAAATGGAGTAAAGAAATTATGAAAATAAATTAAATAATTCAATAAAATTATTCAATTTTATTTGTATATTATTAAAAAAATCTATTATTGAATCGAATAATTGTTTATTCATTAGAATATAACGAATAATCTTCTATTTTATTCGTTTTTAAATAGGCCTATGAATATATACATATAAAAATATAAAACTAACCCTGATGTAATACTCGCGGAGGTGAAGAAACTACCGCAAATACTCCCGTACTTTCATTGATAAACGGAATATTTTTGATGATATTGATTAAGGACCAATCCCAATTGTAATCAGAAAATTGACAAAATCGATTAATGTTATTTCGAATGATAGATTGCCATAAGTATTTATTCCAAACCATGCCTATGTTTCGAAAATTATAGGGTCTTTTGTTTATGACTACGAACAACGTGTCTTCGGTGTGACATTTAGAGAGAATTTTAAAATCTGAGTGCATTCCCAGGGATAGCATGGAATTGATCAATTTAAAGACCGAGCCCTTTCTCCTGGGTATTCGCAACGGTAATGAATTTAAACTATATAATTCTTGTTGTCGTAAGATGTTATTTTTTGTGCGGCCAAAATTTAAATGTTTTATACTATAAATTTTATGAATGACATACAGAAAATCAGGCAACACTACATTGTCGTCTTCTAACATGAGGACAGGCCCCATGAAACTGGTAAATCTGAATTTCTTGATTTTGGGAAAAAATGAGTCTGATGACAATATTTCTAGGTTATCTATCTTGAGATGTATAAATGCGGTGGGGTCAAATATCGCGTTCATTTTCCATAACCAATGGAGTTTTATAAGGGATAATGAAAATTTACGAATCTGTTTATAATGATGTAATGATTCTGGATTCACGTCGCAAGATACAATGAGTCGTGTCAAATTATCCCATGCCGTTATTCCAGAAAATATCTTATGTGTCAACACCTTCGGAGGAGATATTTTAACGAGGTGGGACGCAACATAATTTAGTATTGTACGCTTAAACTCGCTGGTAAAAACCTTTTTTGTATTCGATCAGGAAAATAGAATAAAAAGAACAAAAGTAAAAAAACTCCCTCATCAAAAAATATTTTTTAAAAAATCGTTATTCTTAAATTAAAAAAAATAAAATAAAATATGTATATATTGGAAAAGAAACCTCTGGAGTCAATGGGTAATACATTTTTATGTAAGGTGCAAAATCGACAGCTTCGATAATTTTGTCGATTAGGGTAGAGAAGCAATCGCCGCTAAATATGATCAATGTGCTTTCAATTTGCCAAGCTGACGACAATGAATCCACGAGGTGTTTCAAGCTTTCCCACCTATCGTGGATTTGCACTAAAACAATAGCCGAAAATGTAGCGTTCATGAGATAATGCTGATTTTTAATTTTCATCTCCGCATTATTATGATTTGAATTAAATTCATTTTGTTTCGATTTAAGGATGTCAAATAACCGTTCAAATTCGAGATCAGTTGTATCGAGATTATTTACCGAAAAATTTGTGATTTTATTTTTTCTTTGGATTAAATATTGAGAAGATATGTTTGTTAAAGAGACGCCTTTAGAGAGCCCCAAATATTGCCTAAATGCTAGGAGGAGTCTAATTAAATGGGCAGCGAGAAGAAATAAAATAATTTTTTTAAAGACGTGTATGTTTTTCTTAATAAAAATTACCATTCGCGTGTGATGCATATATTTTCTATCAGGAAATTAGGTAATGGATTATTTAATAACGTAATATAAATAATAAATTATACTTTATTTATTTATGAGTTCCAATCTAAGCTCGTTTATTTAAACAAAGTATCCTGTTTATATCTTATAATATAGGAATAAAGATTTTTTTTTGTGAAATATGATGTATTAATTTTATAGGTAATGGAACAACAAGTTTATCCATTTATTTATCCATTATTCGCTATTTAAATTTGTATTTAAAGAATTTACAAAATGTATTAGGTTTGAAAACAATGATCTAAAAGCATTTTCATAGTTGCCTTTTGACCTTTTCTATGGATAGGCATATATATTATATTATATATATAGTATATAAAATTTAGGTGTAAATAATAATCATAACATAATATCTATACACTGATTATAAAATAAAAAAAGATATAATGAAAATAAATCTATTTTATTTAAGTAACAAATTTTCACAAATTTTTCATTTACTAATTATAATTAAAAATGTATATATATAAAAATCTAATGATATATAAAAAATGAATTAAAAAATAAGTATGTATAAAAGAGAAATGGGATAAAAATAATTTTTTTTATAAAATGTTAAAGGGTACAAATCACCCTAGAGAAGAGTGAATGCTTAAAAAATTGGGAAATCTGCTGACGAAGGTAAAATCCTTCATTTTTATTTTTGGTCGTCATTCTCATTTGTCTAAATTATAAATAAAATTTATTTATTCAATTATTATCCTAAAAATAAAGTGGCAATGGGAGAAAAAAAATAAGTGACTGGAGACAAAAATCTTAAGAATAAAATAAACGGAGGAAAAAAAATTCATAGGAATAAAAGTGTTGGGAGAATAAACCTTTATATATATATATACTAGCTGATAGCCCGTCCAAGTATGACGGGTAATCAGAATTTTCTCCGTATGAATAAATAATACATTTTACCTTCATTTGACGATGGATGAATCAGAATAATAGTTAAATAAGAGGAATAGATTATCCCTGTTCATCCTTCCAAGATTTTTATAAATTTTTAGAAAAAAGGCCAAATATATTTATGAAAAATATAGAGTAAAAAAAATGATTTGTGAGTTATGATATTTATCAATTCTTTTAAGAAATTTTCCACATCCAGACGTAATGGTTTTTGCTCTCTCACTTCGTATAAAATCTACATTTTTCTCAAAGAATCATTTAAATGCTTTTAAAACCTTCCTAAATACTCTTTTAAGAAAAGACCTGCCATAATAGATTCGAATAAATCATGGGGACAAACCTGATTATCTCACAAACACTGTGGCGGTATCCACCCCATTGCAATAGGCTATTTAGATGATTATTAGCAAAAATAATTGCCATGGGTTAAAACCCAGGGTCTTAACTTATTAAGTATACTTATCAATTAGGATTTGGTGTTAATGAAGAAGGCATAGCTTCACACGCCATTCGTATTCCAAAATCCTCCTCCTAACATGGCTATTATCAATAAATTGTTTTTATCACAAATTTCTTGCTTATTCAAAATTCCTAGAGACATACTATAATATTAAAACTTCTTTATTCAGCCCACATGTCATAGATTCTAACAAAAGGATCCAGCAGGGGGATAACGTCCTCGTTTATTTTACTTCGGTATTCATTATCACATCCATTATCTTAAATCTAAATTTGATTTAGATATAATTATTTGGCATCTTGATGATGGAACAATCTGTGATGCTCTTCCTAAATAATTGGTTTTCAATTTCTTAAAGCCAATTTAAAAAGATTCATTCTTAATAAATCCAAATCCGAAATCTGTTTCCATAATAACAATAAACAAAATCCTCATCTGGCAAAATTTAATTTACATAAATAATAACAATTTAAAAAAAAATAAGAAAATATCTATAATTAAAAAAAAAGTATACAAAGTTAGATTAACAAAAAAAATGCATTGCTGGGATTCGAACCCAAAGCCATCAGCTTTGTAAGTGGCTCTTGCCGATTAGGCCACAGCGCTTTTAGAAGTTGACGATTTTTTAAAGATAAATTATAAATTGTGACACTGTGACTGTGACACGGCTTTTATATATATTATTATAAATAGATAGATATATGTTTATGATGTATAAGATGGTAATGTTAGATATTATTTTAATGGATTCTTTGATGGGTCCTTTAAGAACGTGATTATCAAACCCAGTACCCTAGACCATCTCAAACAGCGGCTTGTAGAGAAATGGAATTGTTTTGATTAAGGAATTGTTGATCGTGCAATCGATGAATGGGTAAATAGCCTTATAGCATGTATTCAAGCTAATGTTGATTTTTTTACATCAGTGAGGAACAACATTTGTCTAATTTTAATTGTTATATTTTCATAATTTATATCGAATTGTAAAGTTAAAAAAAATTTTTTTTTACATGTTTTGGAAAGTACAAATTTTGTTTGTCCAACCTTGAATGTGCATAACATTGGACTCTGTTTATAGGATTTGATGAAATTAGCTGAAAACATTGAAATGTTATCCTTCTGTCTATCTAAAAAATTTAGTTTATTTTATAATTAACAGATTTATTATCAACACAAATTGGGTATCAGTTCAATTGAGAGTATATGTTCTTATTTATGTTCTGTAATGGATATGATAAATGAATTACATTTTTAAAAAAATATTTCATTTTTTATTGTAAAGAGTGGAATGCATCCTTACTTTTATAGTCAAATGATTGTTTCTTAATTCGACTAATCTGACTTTCTAGAGGATATTCCGCGGGTAAAGGCGGATGCAAGCTCGCGAGTATCAATATTTACTTGTACAAATAAATTTTCACGATAATCTTTCAAAAAGTTTAAATATTTATTTTTCACTTGACAACAACATATTCTCAACTTTCTCATCATGAAGGGTTAATACCATACCATAAATCTTAGAATAACTGTAACTAACTATACTAAAATATTATTAGAAAGCTAGTGTATTATTTAATAATAATGATCTAAGGCACATATGTTGCTCAATAGTACAATGGCATAGTTAAACATTGTAACTGGTGGGGCGCATTAAACATTTAACAAAAAAAGAAATTTTATTTCTGAATTTAAAAGGTTATAAATTTTGAGGTTCATACTCCCGCATTTCTTTATGACTCTATTGTACAGTGGCGTATCCAGAATTTTCTTATGGGGGGGGGGGGGGGGAATTTAGTTGAGCCCTCTGCGATTGTAAAGGCTAGCGACGCCCCTGTATATAATTATAATTTTACACCTTAATATATAATTTTTATAAGAAAATATTGATTATATCAATTTTAATTTGTATTAATAATTAATTTTTGTAAATTTCTACTATTAATATAAATTGTTTCAATCTATATTGGTCGTTTTCCTTATACTATACTAAATGCATCAATAAATTTAATATATATTATTTGCTCCAAATTTGTTTAATTGTGTCTATAAGCCATTAAATAGTATCGTATTTTAATTTAATGAAAATGAGGTTTGGACTAAGTAATATATCTTTAATGGTAAATTTTTATTAATGTCTAGTTGAATATAAATTGTTATATGCTATGTGGTTCATGATAAAAGCTTGAAGTTTACTAAGTTTATTCAGGACAATATTAAATTATTAGATATTCTATATTTTTTAGGTAAATTCTACCAAACTACTTAGTTCAAGTTATGGAATAATATTAAGTTTGTGGACCACATTAGTGGTTAACCTAGGGTCGTAAAAAGATAAGGGTTAGTATTTATATTAGATAAGAAATACTTATTTTTTTTAGACACCAAACCCATTACATTTGGTAAAATCTAGAAGATACTGAGCAACCCGAGAAAGTCAATAAGTTTCTTTTAGATTTTACTAAACTACACCGTTCAGGTTAAGCCATAATATCAACGAAATTCTTATTTTATTATAGACCAAACCAACTATATTTGGTAAAATCTAAAAAATACTTAGGGCTACCTGAGTAGAGCGAGATAGACAATAGGTTTCTTATAGTTTGGGTTCAGGTTAAGTCCTAATATCTTGTGTTGTTAAAAAAGTCCGATTCGGATTGATTTAAAAAAACGGCTCAATTAAGAACCAAAATGACATTATGTAAGACTATCATATTTGGCAGAAATATGTGGACACTCTTCTCTTCTCTTTGCCAAATCTTGATACTTGCATAATATTATTTAGCTAAAACTTTAATCGGGCCGTTTTGAAAAATCAATCCAAATCGGGCTTTTACAGCAATACTAATATCAACCTCGTGAACCGTGCTATATGGCTTTACTACAAAGATTAGTATTTGTATTTATAATAGATGAGAAGAAATACTCAATTTATTAGACACTAAACACACTAAAATTGGCATAATCTAAAAGATACTTAGAGAAGCTAAAGAAAAGATAAGGGGAAGTTGATCAAAATTCCATTATAAAATTTAAGACACTAGGATATGTATCTAAATTTATCCTAAAATAGATATTAAACTATATATATATATATATATGCTAAAAATATTTTGAAATATTTAACTATTGAGAATTTTTTGTATCAAATTTGGAAAATGTTTGTAAGACAAATAATTTCTAGCAAATTTTGAATTAACTTAATTTGCGATTTTTACAAACTGTTGTAAATGTTAGATTTAATTTGCATAAAGATTTCTTTTGGATTTTGTTGTACTTTATATGTAATTTGCATAAAGAATTC